TTACCAGCCATTCGGGTTGGTTTGTTTCGAGTAGCAAATCGATCGATGTACGCCCATTCCTGTCTTTGTTAAAATACCCAATTCTTAGCTACACATAATGAAAGCTAGTGAAGTGATAATTTGGTAGATTATTAATACTTACTAGCCAATCAGCGGGGAGCACTGAATGTGTGAATTCAAGACGTTTGTTTACTGAACCTGCTAATCTTCTTCGGGACCACGGCTTCAATCCTTTCGATTTTGATTCGGAATAAGATTACTATTTCTGTCACTTGCACACCTCGTCTTTCGAAACAGGCCTATTGCAGTCACCGATTTTGTTCTTTATATGTGAATATTCTTGCATTTCTTCTTTAAATAGAAACAACGGAACAATTGCAGCTAATGATTGTAGTTTGACGGACAACACATCCATTGGTAGTCCGTTAAAATTTATGCTTTCTTTTGATAGAAGGACTGTTTTATGGCATGCGTCGGTGTACCAATAAACTGTCGAGAGCTGCAAAATTTCTGGGACTTTAGCTACATCTTGCACAGAAATGTAGAGGGAGGATTTTAGAAGTAGAAATCTTAATATCCACAAAATAAGAAGATTGGGTAGCATGATTTAAAATATGATTTGATTGTAACCGCAATGTGTTAAATTAGCCATCTTTTTTAAGTAACGTCACTTTTACCTGTGGAACCTCGATTGAGTTGAGCAAGATGTAGGCATACCTTTCTTATTCTTCAGTGAACATTATGGCTTTTTATCCGCAAAAGCTGCTAATGGCATAAAAGTCTACGTAACTTCGGGTTTCGACAGCTGAAGCCAGATTTTATTTTATATATAAGGTTGTTTTTGGACTCCGGGGAATGAAATGCTTAAAATGTACGTCACTGTATAAGAAGGTGGAGGCAGCTGCATGACAATGAGCCATCTACTGCGCTTTGACCCGTAGGCTGCCTACGCCGCCAAAACTCCCATTAGTTGCATGAGCAAGACGAAGAAACTTTCTGTCAACCACAAATTAGAAGTAAATAAAAGGATATATAGCCGCATACCTACAATATCGTACAACACAGGCTGTTGGGAACGCCTAACAGCTTGCTGCTTATAAAACTCGCGCGTGTTTTCATTGCTGCAATCCATGCACATGCGCTCAGCAGTACTCCGCAGTCGCTGTGACCAGAAGTGTCGCATAATCTTTGATTTATTCATTTCTTCGGAACTTTCATCAGCTTTTTTATACCATTCTTTTAAATCAGTTTCGGTAAAATACTGTCAGCCTTTACGCTACTTTCAAGAATGCACTTATGCGTGATTGATCGTGCTTTCTTTCTTTTTCGGATTGGTGTTGGTGTTTGGGACAGAGATCAAGTAAGCAAACTGTTCGTCTTATTTTTAGTTCCCACGCATGGTCATAGCAGAAAATAAAAAGTCATTCGATCGTCCGTTTTTACACCGCCAGGCACGCTTTACTGTGCAAAAATTTTTCACTGAAGTAGTGATGGGAACATGCGCAATTGCTGCCACGGCCAACCGTGTTAACCAACCACAAATTATGTAGGGCTACTTTCGCTGTTCTTTCATTTGTGACGGACGATAATCTTCCAGGGCTCCAATTCTGTCACTATAGGGCTCAGATATTAAAATGCAGCTCGTTAAGAGGAAATTGTTTACAAAAATATGACCGCAAGAACGATTGAATGTGTACTGACAGGAAAGATTCGTAGACAATGGGATAATCCATGGAACCGGTGTTAAAAGTACCTGCGTCATAATGTGAGAGATAGAGAGAACATTAAGCGTTACTGCCCTGAAAATGAATAAAGAGAATGATGCTATTTGCAACTCATAGCACCAGCAGAGCTCCGAAAGGGCTCGCTTGCAGCAAAAAATCAAAAATTGCAGTTTTGATGGAAACTCCCTCATAATAGAAGTACATGGAACACCAACGTGAATAACGGAGCATTGGTGCGATAAGATAATCGCAATATCTTTGTAAGGGTACAGAAGACGGCCTAGATCACTCAACTGCTTAATATCATTTACAGCAGCAGATAACAACTGTCATCATGTCCACATTAAAAATGGCTTCAATGGGAATTGCTCTACGGTGTCGTTTATCAAAAGACAGAATTTTACGTCAAGTCCACTTACCCCCCTCCCAGACATCGTATCACGCCACTGCCGCTATTCGTATAAAAACAAAGAGATAATCATGATGGCGTACCAAAATATTAGTAGTGACGCTGCCCCAATCAACAACCATCTACTGACAATTTAAACAGTCGCCACTGCAACAACCCGCTTGACATCTTGCAACGACGAGACAATTATAATGGAATCTTACGAATTGAGGCAAAGGTTAACATTCCAGTTACGTGTATAGTTGGAGAAGAAGCTTTGTCGAACATCGGAATCATGGTTGTATTGGTCTGAGCTTTCGGGCTCCTGCATGAAATGATCGCCAGAGATCGGAAACAGCAACAAACGGGTTGGCTAGTTGTGGCGTGTGTACAAAACAAATAAAATTTTAATGTGCTTAAAATCAATAATTGTGTGGTGTGGACGCCGACTGGCCACTGCTGACTAAGTCAGTATGTGAAAGTAGGCCAGATCGGCGTGTTGGGTGAGAATATTTACAGAAATAAAATCGTTACCGAAAACAACCAACATTTATAGGCTCAATCAAAAGTCATGGGAGGTGGGAGGATGGGGAAGAGGACCAATTAACCACCAGTGCCGTGAGTATGGAAATACCTACACAAGGCAAAATATGCGTGTGCCAGCTCAGGCCAATAAAACCATGATTCCGGTTTTCGACAAAGCTTATTACTCTCAAACTATGATGGAATATATTACACGGAAAGTAGTTAACTAGTAGCTGTAGCCACAAAATGCATCCGCCGCATACACGTCACATGCATACAATGTGTCAGATTATTTGTGGACCACGGGGGTTTAATTTACAATATGGGCAGGTATGACGATGAAATTCACTCTAACCGAGGTAACAGCAAAAATCTCATCGGGCCATTACATTTATGTAGGAAGGGGGTCAAATGTAACATGCGAGCAATTATGCTCGTAAGTACAGGGAAATGAGGCATGGAAACATGCGAGGGGTGTTGGGGTTGGAGTCGATGGTATTTGGCTTGTTGCGAG